CTGACTGCGTGTCTATACTGTCTGGGGCCACCCATTTGCAGGTACACTTGTTAAACCACTACTGTCTGGGGCCACCCATTCGCTGGTACACTTGTTAGACCACTGCTGTCTGGGGCCACCCATCTGCAGGTACACTTGTTAGACCACTGCTGTCTGGGGCCACCCATCTGCAGGGACACTTGTTAGACCACTGCTGTCTGGGGCCACCCATTTGCTGGTAGACTTGTTAGATTAGTGCTGTCTGGGGCCACCCATTTGCTGACACTCTTGTTAGACTAGTGCTGTCTGGGGCCACCCATTTGCTCGTACACTTGTTAGACTAGTGCTGTCTGGGGCCACCCATTTGCTGGTACACTTGTTAGACTAGTGCTGTCTGGGGCCAAGATCAATATTTGTGGTCGAAATCCTCTCTAATGCTATTCAAAATGAAGACCTTACAGCCAACTGGCGAGCAGCCAGCCCCGGTACTGGGTTTATAGTGTTGAACGTGATTACATCCCAACATGCGTCTCCTCTCTTGATGGTGAACTCCTGTTTCCTCCATGAAAACCTCCCGAGATGTACACACGTGTGTGTTTGGGGAGGGGAAGGAAGGTCATTATCAGGTTAGAGTCATGTATTGACGGAAGTGGGATTGTGTTGTCAATGTTCTCCCCCTCATTCTGTGACATGAATAGAGGACCATGTGAGCTGTGGGTTGTCTCAGACCTGCAGTTGTGTGATTAGATAACCGAAATCTGCAGTGTGGTTGATATATCCCAAACTTGCCGTGGTTGTGTGATTAGATAACCGAAATCTGCAGTGTGGTTGATATATCCCAAACTTGCCGTGGTTGTGTGATTAGATAACCGAAATCTGCAGTGTGGTTGATATATCCCAGACTTGCCGTGGTTGTGTGATTAGATAACCGAAATCTGCAGTGTGGTTGATATATCCCAAACTTGCCGTGGTTGTGTGATTAGATAACCGAAATCTGCAGTGTGGTTGATATATCCCAAACTTGCCGTGGTTGTGTGATTAGATAACCGAAATCTGCAGTGTGGTTGATATATCCCAAACTTGCCGTGGTTGTGTGATTAGATAACCGAAATCTGCAGTGTGGTTGATATATCCCAAACTTGCCGTGGTTGTGTGATTAGATAACCGAAATCTGCAGTGTGGTTGATAACCGAAATCTTGCAGGTGTGTTTAGATAACCCGAAATCTGCAGTCCCAAACTTGCCGTGGTTGTGTGATTAGATAACCGAAATCTGCAGAAGATATCCCAAACTTGCTGGTTGTTGTATTAGTCACCGAAATCAGTGGCTAGTATCCCAAACCCGTGGTTATGTGATTAGATAACCGAAATCTGCAGTGTGGTTGATATACCCAAACTTGCCGTGGTTGTGTACTAGATAACCGAAATCTGCAGTGTGGTTGATATATCAACAACTTGCCGTGGTTGTGTGATTAGATAACCGAAATCTGCAGTGTGGTCCTATATCCCAAACTGCCGTGATGTGTGAGTTCGGAAGTTCCAGTCTAATTAATTCAGCAAATGTGGCTACTTGCCTCTGAGCCCTTCCACCCACGTCAGCCTGTCCGACAAGGGGGACTACTCTGACACCAGGTACACACATCAACAACACCATCATCATGTGGCTCACTGTTGTGTCCTTCTACTGCTGATGTATTCTTAGTTCTCTGTAATTCTCTATGTATACTTGCCTCTGTCTCTCTGTCACTCTCTCTCTCTCCATCTCTGTAACTCTCTATGTATGCTTGCCTCTGTCTTTCTGTCTCTCTGTAACTCTCTCTCTCTCTCTCTCTCCATCTCTGTAATTCTCTATGTATACTTGCCTCTGTCTCTCTGTCACTCTCTCTCTCTCTCCATCTCTGTAATTCTATATGTATGCTTGCCTCTGTCTCTCTGTCACTCTCTCTCTCTCTCTCTCTCTCCATCTCTGTAATTCTCTATCTATGCTTGCCTCTGTCTCTCTGTCACTCTCTCTCTCTCTCTCTCTCCATCTCTGTAATTCTCTATGTATGCTTGCCTCTGTCTCTCTGTCACTCTCTCTCTCTCTCTCCATCTCTGTAATTCTCTATGTATGCTTGCCTCTGTCTCTCTGTCACTCTCTCTCTCTCCATCTCTGTAATTCTCTATGTATGCTTGCCTCTGTCTCTCTGTCACTCTCTCTCTCTATCTCCATCTCTGTAATTCTCTATGTATGCTTGCCTCTGTCTCTCTGTCACTCTCTCTCTCTCTCTCCATCTCTGTAATTCTCTATGTATACTTGCCTCTGTCTCTCTCTCTCTCTCTCTCCATCTCTGTAATTCTCTATGTATATATATATATATATATATATCTCTGTCTACCTCGTTATCTCTCTTTCTCTCTCTACCTCATTATCTCTCTCTCTCTCTCTCTCCTATTTTTTTTTATTGATTAATGTAAATAGTTGTGATATTATCTTCCATTGTTTTCATAATTCTTCTGTAAAAGTGCACAATTAAATATATTTTTTTACAATCCTTCTATAAAAAAAAAAACTATGTTATTAAATTTTTTTTATACAATTCCTCTGTAAAACTACAATTAACACAATTGTTACAGTCCCTCTATAAAACAAATTAACAATTTTTTTGAACAGTTTCTTTGTAAAACTACAAATTACACAATTTTACAATTCCTCTATACAGCTACAGGTTATACACTTGTTTTACAGTTCCTCTGTAAAACTACAAATTACACATTGTTACAATTCCTCTATAAAACTACATGCTATATTTGTCCATGTATAAGATGCACTGTTCAGTTCCCAGAATTAGCCCTCAAATTAGACTCTGTCTTATAGAAATCAAGATAGGCGTGCATGTAGCGTTATTGTTACACAGTGGACAGCACACTAGCTTTAGGTCTGCATGTAGCGTTATTGTTATACAGTGGCCAGCACACTAGCTTTAGGCCTGCATGTAGCGTTATTGTTACACAGTGGCCAGCACACTAGCTTTAGGCGTGCATGTAGCCTTATTGTTACACAGTGGCCAGCACACTAGCTTTAGGCCTGCGTGTAGAGTTATTGTTACACAGTGGCCAGCACACTAGCTTTAGGCCTGCATGTAGCGTTACTGCTACACAGTGGCCAGCACACTAGCTTTAGGCCTGCATGTAGCGTTATTGTTACACAGTGGCCAGCACACTAGCTTTAGGCCTGCGTGTAGCGTTATTGTTACACAGTGGCCAGCACACTAGCTTTAGGCCTGCGTGTAGCGTTATTGTTACACAGTGGC